TGTAAATTTTGGTCAATGACATGAGACAAAATATATTATGTGAACTGCTGTATGAAAAGTGAATTTACTCTGTAAATCTTCACCCAAATCAAAAAAGAATAAAAAAAAAAAGAAGCTTTGAGAGAAAGCAAACCTAGAAATGTGCCGTGTTTCTAGAGGGAAGACCCCTTGAATTCTCCTATTTAATTTATACATTTATTCTCAGTGAAAATTCCAGTAGAATTTGATAAAACTACTCCAGAGACTATGTAACAGGATGTCAATGAGATAATAATTAATAAATAGAATAAGAAATTGGAATGCAATGTCATCCAATGTTTGTATAATATGAAATAAGAAAAATTGAAAAATTATTGTGTTTCATAATAATAATTCATGAATTTGGTATTATTACATACAGATTTGAAAATACTATGGGAATAGCCGTATCACTGGAAGAAAATAAAGAGCTTCTCCATAAATATGTAAAATCAGTTAATGTCCATTCCCAGTGTCATATTTGCATTTCTATTAACCATTCTTAAGCAAAATAATGGCTGCAGGGAAAAGAAAAAAAGAAAAAGAATAATAAGCTATCATCTAAAATTTAAATATATAGGATGTTTTATGCATCTTCTCCTTCCCTCTCTGAGGACATTGAGTTCTAAAAAGTACAATGATGTGGCCAGGGAAGGAATTGTCAATGCTTTCTGAGTTGGTTAAAATGGTTAAAAAGAGTAATGGTGCTCTTCCTCTGTACTATTTTATACTAGGCAGCCCTGATGGTACAGTGGTTAAGTGCTCTGCTGCTAACTGAAAGTTTGGTGGTTCAAACCCACCAGCTGCTTTGCGGAAGAATGATGTGGCAGTCTGCTTCCATGAAGATTGACAGCCTTGGAAACCCTAGGGGGCAGTTCTGCTCTATCCTATAGGGTCACTATGAGTCAGAACCACCTTAGAGGTGGTGGGTTTGTTTTGTTCCATTTTCTTAGTAATTTTGAATCACTGGTTACTTACCAACTGAGGAAATGAATATAAGCTTGTATGCAATCAACTTCAGTCTTTTGTTCTCCCATACCTTTAAAATTGTTAGCTGCTGCTAAGATTAGTTATGTGTGCTTTTAGAAAGTAAAATCTTACTATAGAGCTTGTCTAAATGTTCAAACCAACTCCTCTCTGTCCTCCTGTCTCTTTTTTGGGACATAGAGATTATGGTCTCATTTATTTCAAAAACGGTTCACTTTCTAAAGACCTTTCATGTTTTCTTTTTCAACTTTTATATTTTCAATTATGACTATCGAACTTTGAAAATACATAGCAGGATGTTAATGCAAAGAAATTCTTGTATTCTATTTCTGGCCTTTCTGAGATATAATGTAATACATTTATATATATTAGTCAATGTTTTATGATCTCTCGCTTTGTTATTCAGGCTGCCTACGTGTTATCCAAATACCAGTACTTTGTCTGCCCAGTGGAATACCGAAGCGACGTCAACTCCTTTGTTACGGAGTGTGAACCCTCAGAACTTTTCCAGCTTCAGAGTTACTCCCTTCCTCCTTTTCTACAGGCAGTATTCAGACGGGTAAGAGTAGATGTTCAGGATAAACATGGTTAGGAATTCCTCCATACCTCCTGAAGATTAACCTTCATTTAAAGATAGGATTCAGATTTTTATAAGAAATCAATGTCTGCAGAATTTTTAACTCTGTGTTGCAGAAGGAAGGAAGGTTGGGCAATCTACTTCTGTAGTGATATCGCCTCGGAAACCCAAGAAGGGGTCGCTATGAATCGGGGTCCAACTTGACAGCACATAACGACAGCAGCAACATGTTGCAGAAAGGATTTTAGTTTCTGTTTAGCATCAATAGTAGCATATGACTTCTATACTCCTTTGATTTTACTCTCTTTAGCATACAATGAATATTAATATTCCCAACTAGTTGTCTACTTGGAATTTATTTGCTTAATGTTTTAAGTGGGAGCTCTGGTGGCGTAGTGCCTAAGGCATTTAACTGCTAACCAGAAGGCTGGCAGTTCAAACCCATAGCCACTCCTCAGAAGGAAGATTGGGCAATCTACTTCCATATAGATAACGCCTCAGAAGGAGGGCTCGCTATGAGTTGGATGCCAGTGAGTTTTTTTTAAATGGTTTAAGTACTGACACTCGTAATTTATCGTACAATTATTTGTATTGAAAACACTTCTCAGTATGCCTTAGATTATTACAAATTAAATTAATTAAAAGGGTTTCAAGTATAACTGATATGAATGAATTCAATTTGAAACTTAATTAGAATTTTCAGCTCAAATATTCATTGACTTTTAGGTATTTACTGGTATAGAAAGCTGCTGCTTCACTCATTTTTGCTATTTAAAGGCATCCTTGAGGTCTCACACTGAAGGATAGTGAAATGCTGTCCAGCAGAACACTACTCATCCATGTGACAGGACTGGTGGTTGCTTGTTAAAGTGCAGAATCAGATACACGCACATACCTGTACCAAAAAAATTTATTTTTAACTATAATCTATAATCTTAGGGAAGCAAGTTAACAAATCATTTCTCTTCTCAATTGTCCAATAAATGGATTCCAAGAATTTTTTTTTTTTTTTCAATATCCAAGCCATCTGTTCCCTGCTGGAGAACTTTTGCTGATTTTAATATTTGTTTCCAATCAAGATTTTTACTTTGAGAACAGGTCCAAACTTAGTTTTCCCTATCATCATTCTTGAGAGCCCCAGTAATGACTCATTATCTGTAATTTATCTTTGAGTTTATTTAAAGTGGAGAAGGAACTGAGAATAAACAATAATTTGACTGCAGGATTTTTCTCAATTATTATGATCCTTAAAGATTTTACAGTCATCTTGCTGATTCTTATTTTGATAGTCTTTAAACGACTTACTTTTTAAGTTGTCCTAAACATTCAACTCAGTTTTAAAAGAAGGAACAATTTTTCCCTTATTTCATCATATAAAGTTAAATAAAATTAAATACACAGTCACAACAAATGTTGAAAGTGAAGAGGTCTTGAAGGACTTGCTGATAATCAAAAACTACAGCCTTCAATATGGATTACACCTCAACATAAAGAAGGAAATCCTCACAACTGGACCAGTAATCAACATGATGATAAGTGGAATAAATATTGTAGTTGTCAAGGATTTCATTTTACTTGGATCCACAATCAATGCCCATAGAAGTAGCCGTCAAGGAATCAAATGATGTATTGGGCACTGTGCTGCAAAAGACCTCTTTAATGTGTCAAAAAGTGAGTACATCAGTTTGAAGACTAAGATGTACCTGACCCAAGCCAAGATATTTTTTACTGCCTTTTAAGTATGTGAAAACTGGACAATGAATAAGGAAGACTGAAGAAAAATCGATGCACTTGAATTTTGGTATTCTTGAAGAATATTGAGTATACCATGGACTGACAGAAGAATGAATAATCTGTCTTAGAAGAAGTACAGCCAGAATGCCCTTTAGAGGATGGCAAGTCTTTGTCTCTCATTCTTTGGTCATGTTATCAGGAGGGACCAATCTCGGGAGAGGAATATCATGCTTGGTAAAGCGGAAGGTCAGTGTTTTGGTTACCTAGTGCTGCTCTAACAGAAATATGTCACAAATGATTAGATTTAACAAATAGAGATTTAGTTTCTTACTGTTTAGGAGGCTAGAAGTCCAAGTTCAAAGTGCCAGGTTCTAGGGGCTAGGTGAAAGCCCCTTGACCTTGGGCTTCAGCTCTGCCTCTTGGTCCTGGACCACTGAAGCTGGAGGCTTTTCTTAACTCATGCAGCTACTGGCTGCTGAGGTTGGCAAACCCAAGGTTGCCAAGTAAAAAGGTACAGTCCCAAGCTTTTCAAACAACATGGATGGCCATAGTAGTTCAAGTCCAGAAAAGTCCCAAGATTGACAGGGCCTGGCAGGCTACTGAATGAAGACTTGGCTACATGTAGGGTCCAAGCACGCCAAAAAGCTGCAGAGAACTTTCTCAACGTTTCTCCTTATAAACTGGAAGCAAACCACATCCCTAAGGCAGCTATTCATCTGCTCTAATAGATTCCACCATGGAGTTGATTACCAGTCTTATCATGGGGAATAACTACGTCCAGCTGTCCAGCTACTCAAAACCGGGTCCAGCCGGTTGACACATAACCTTACTATGCCAGTCAGTAAAAAAGAGAATACCCTCAACAAGATGTATTGACACAGTGGCTGCCACAGTGAACTCAAGCATAGCAAAAATTGTGAAGATGGCACATTACTGGGCATTTTTAGTTTGGTTGTATATAGGGTTGCTATGAGTCAGAACCAACTCGACAGCACCTAACAATAACAACCCAGTCTTACAAATTAACATTCCTTTTATTTTCCTCTTTTTTAAGAACATCATTCAATAGCACAACTGACCCAAAAAACCTCAGGAGGGAATTGGAGTACAAAGTTGTTTTACAGCTCTCCCTCTTCCTATTTAGTCTTTGTTGTTGTGTTGTTAGGTGCTGTTGAGTCAGCTCCAATTCACAGTAACTCGTTACACAACAGAACCACACATGGCCCAGCCCGGCACCATCCTCACAGTCCTCACTATGCCTGAGCCCATCACTGCAGCCACTGTCTCAGTCCCTCATGGAAGGAGGGTCTTCCCCTTTGTCTCTGACCCTCCACTTTACCAAGCACGATATCGTCTCCAGGGACTGACAGCATGACCAAAGTAGGTGAGATGAAGTCTTGCCATTCTTGCTTCTGAGGTGCATTCTGGGTGCACTTCTTCCAGGACAAATTTGTTCATTCTTCTGGCAGTCCGTGGCATTTTCTTTGCCAACACCACAATTCAAAGGGATCAATTTTTTCTTCAGTCTTCCTTACTCATTGTCTAGCTTTCACATTCATATGGGGTGATTGAAAATACCATGACATGGGTCAGGCCTACCTTAGTCTCCAAAGTGACATTCTTGGTTTTTAGCACTATATAGAGGTCCCTTGTGACAGACTTGTCCAGTACAGTATGACATCTGGTTTCTTGACTGCTGGTTCCATGTGTGTTGATTGTGGATCCAAGTAAAATCAAATCCCTGATAACTTTATTCTTTTCTCAACAACAGATTATATCATTACAAAAGTAAAGTGCTAGTGGTTAAAAGTAGTAGTTAGGAGCTAACTCAGCTGATTCTTGGTGAGCCTACCACTCAACTAGTGGAAGCAGAAGTTCCTACACCAACTATGAAGTAGCCTACAGCTTTGAGATTTCAGTGTGCTTGCTGTCAATGTGATTGTAGAGGGAATGGAGGGCCTTGGTCAGCTAGAGGATGGTAATGAAAGCTTACGATATATTTTCCCCCTATGATTCTTAAAGATAATGAAATTAATAAAAAAAAAAAGTGGCAATTGTTGGTATTATGATTGTTAGATTTGGTGGCATGCTTACATATAAGTTTTATGCAGTTATTCCTATCTTCCCTACCCTGTTTTTTTTCCTCTTTAGGAAACAGTGAGCATGTATCCTTTCCAGATACACAGCATTGCTCTTTCATCATTTGCATCTTTAATTGGCCCATTTGGAGGCTTCTTTGCCAGTGGATTCAAAAGAGCTTTCAAAATCAAGGTGTGTATTTAAATTCTTTGTTACATTATTAGAGAATATAATTAGAGAATGTAATTTAGTCAGAATTTGGTTCTCTGTTGTTCTCACATCTTAAATCCCTGGTCAAAAATTTTTGCTTCCTGCTTGTTTCAGCCTCACAGAAATGCTTCCTGCTTGGTTTGAGAGTATTCTTTCATGTTATTTTTCGGTCATTTCATGTTAATACATTTAAAGTGTCATGTCAGCCTTTTGCTTTTGTGGAAATGACGTGTCACTTAATGTTGGGACAGATGCAGAATCTTGGTCCTTCGAGTGTTCATCAAAAAATCCAGCCATGAGTTGTCTGCAGTTTAGTGTCTTGCCATTGTCTCACGTGAACAGACATGCCAGAGGGCCTTTGTGTAACTGTCCATTATTCTAGATCGGGGTGTGCAAACTCTTTCATAAAGTTTCATATATCCTAATATATCTTCAGATAGTAAGCATATCAGGATTTGCAGACATACGGTCTGTTGCAGCTACTCAACTATGAACTCTGCCCTTATAGCATGAAAGCCCCCATAAACAATGTATCAATGAAGGGTATAGCCATTCTCTACTGAAGCTTTATTTACAAATAGATGGTGGGCTGGATTTAGGCTGTGGGCCATACTTTGCTGATCCCTGTTCCAGATACTTAAAATTATTCCTATGTTTTATTTTAAGTTAGATTACCATAAAGCAACATATGTCTGATTTATTGTATCAGTCTCCCTCACATGGCTTCACTAAGTTAAGATTGAATATTCTGTCAGGGAAGGACTCTCTGAGGAGGTGGCATTTTATCAGAGACTTGGGAAAAGGAGGAGAAGGAACCCTACAGAGAACCTGGGCAAGAAAGTTCCATCAAGTTCAGTTCTGTTGTATATAGGGTTGCTGTGAGTCAGACCAACTCGACAGCACCTGACGACAACAACGCAGTCTACAAATTAACGTTCCCTTTATTTTCCTCTTTGTTAAAAATGTCATTCCACAGCACATCTGACCTAAAAAACCTCAGAAGGGAATTGGAGCACAGAGTCTGAGAAAGTTGACCAGTTCATTTACAGATAAGAATTTTCTAACTGGTACTTTTTTTAAAAAAAAATTGCTAATATGTCTTGTGTTTGTTTGTTTTTGAAGGATTTTGCAAACACCATTCCTGGACATGGAGGGATAATGGACAGATTTGATTGTCAGTATTTGATGGCAACTTTCGTGCATGTGTATATTACAAGTTTTATAAGGTACTTCTAGATTTTACAAAATGTTTCCTTAGATGATGTCTTTGAGTTTGTATGTGCTCAGATGCATCTTTGAGGTTTTTTTTTTTTTTTTTTTTTTAGTTTAGGTTGAGATAAAGGAAAAATTCAATGTAATTCTAAAAAACCAAAATCTAAGTAGGAAATTAAACTTTTCATTTTTTCCATGCTGTTTTCAGGATTTTTTTTTTTTTTTTTTTTTTTTAGTTTGAATGGGTTAACTTTTTCTGTCAGTGATGATCTATGTCAGAGCGAATGGTGGCTCCTGGGCGTGTGTCACATTGCAGCCCTCAGCAGTATGATTACATTAATTGTTTTATATACATTTGAGCAAATTACCCCCCACACCAAAAAAAATTGTGTATGACACAATCCTTGTGAACCTGAGTTAAAGACCCATTTAATGTGGATGGAAGGATTCTACTTGGCACAATGGTTAAATACTTGGCTGTTAACTTAAAGGTTGGTGATTTGAGCCCACCAGATCTGAGGGAGAAAAGACTTGGCAATCTGCCCCATGAAGATTACTGTTGTTAGGTGCCACAGAGTCAGTTCCTACTTACAGTGATCTTTTGTAAAACAGAATGAAACGCTATTCACTCCTGCACCGTTCCCACAATCGTTTCTATGCTTGAGTCCATTCCCACTGTTGCAGCCGCCGTGTCAATCCATCTCATTGAGGATCTTCTTTTTTTCTGACCCTGTACCTAAGAATAGGAGCTCTGGTGGCATAGTGCCCAGGGCATTTGACTGCTAAGCAGAAGGTTGGTGGTTCAAACTCACCAGACAGCCAACGGAAGGAGGACTGAACAATCTACTTCTGTAAAGATTTACTGCTTCAGAAACCTAAAGGGGGTTGCTATGAGTCAGAATTGACTTGATGGCAATGGGTTTTTTAGTTTTCATACCTAAGAAACCCTATAGAGCAGTTCTTCTCTGTTATATAGGGTTTGTGATGTCACTGCCGTTGAGTTGATTTTGACTCATAGTGACCCCTCCTTGGGTTTCTGAGGCAGTATCACTATAGAAGTAGATTGTCCCATCTTCCTTCCAAGGAATGGCTGGTGTATTTGAACCGTCAACCCTCTGGTTAGCAATCACATGCCTTGGGAACTACACCGCCAGAACTCCCATATAGGGTTGCAGTAAGTCAAAATCGAGTCATCGGCACACAACAACAAGGTAGATGTATGGAATTTGGAAATTTAATTTCTCAACTTTGGGCATTGGAATGATAGTGAGTAGTACAAATAAAAAAGAAGGCTGTAATAATTTATCGTGAGTTCTTGTTGTGTGTTGGGGAATGTCCTAGGCACAGAATGAACAAGTAAGTATCGCTTGTTACATGGTGGGTTGTAAGTAAGGTGGAGAAAAAGAAAGCAGGCCAGGGAGAGAATGAGAGTGGCTGCTGTTTTATGTACAGTGCTTTCTTCTTCTTCTTTCTTTTTCATTAAACAAATATTCATTGTCTATAATGTTTTAGCACTATGGGTATAACCTCAAATATAGAGAGCAAAAATGGACAGAATTAAAAATAGAATAAAAAATTTACAATCTTATAACAGTGCTCACTTTGTAACTGATAAATTAGGTAGACCAAAAAAAAAAAAAAAAATCCATGTAGAAGATTTAAACATTACCTAATTGACATATACAACATCTAGAAAAAGTATAAAATGCACACTCATCTCATGTACATGTGGAACATGTACCAAATAGATATTATGCAGGGCCATAATGGCAAATCTCACTGTTTTACCCAAACCCACTACCATCGAGTCAATTCTGACTCCCACTGGGTTTCCAAGGTGGTAGATCTTTACAGAAGTAGATTGCCCCATCTCCCTTCCACAGAGTGGTCTGTGGGTTTGAGCTGCCAACCTTCTGGTTAACAATCAAATTCCTTAGGCGCTGTGCCACCAGAGCTCTTTTCCAAAAAATATTAGTAAATATTAAAATCATAATAGAGTGTTTCTGACCACAGGGTAACTAAAGAAAAAAATCAATTAAGGAAAGGGAATGAGAATATGTGCAACCATTTGGAAACTAATGAATACATTTCCATGTAACCCATGTGTCAAAGAAGGTGTAATCATGGAAATCAGAAACTATTTGTAACAGAATAATGAAAATACAAATATCATAATTTATATGACGCTAAAGCAGTAAAGAGGAAATTTATAGTTTTAATGGCTATTTAAGCAGGATGAAAAAAATCAGTGGTCTAAGCTTCTACCTCAAGAAACTAGAAAAAGAACAACAAATTAAACCTAAAGAAAGACGAGGAAAGGAAAGATGAGGCTAGAGATCAATGAAATATAAAACAAATATACAATAGAGAATTTTTTAAGTTTTTTTATTATTGTGTTTGGGTACAAATTTACAGAGCAGAATTTGTTTTTCATTCAACAGTTCATGTACATTTGGTTTCACTCCCCAATTACCATCCCCAACCCTAACCCCTTTCATGTGACCCCCCCCCCCATGTCCTTCTTAACTGTTCACTCCTGTCTGTCTAGCTTTCCCTCCATGTAAATGATACCCCTCTGGTGCCCCATGATCGATTGCTCAAAGGGTATATCTCCAAATAGTAGGTGGGTGCATCACCCTGGGTTAGGTGTTCTGCATGTAAGGCTTTCTACTGTTGGGCTGAGAGCCAGTCCTTGGGAATGAGTCCTATCCCAGGCCCGAAGTGTATACCAGGGCCATAGTCTTGGGGGTCCCACCAGACTCCATTCAACCAGTAATTCTGGTTGTTACTGTATTTTTTAATTTTGTTCCATGTTTTTCCTCCCACTACCATAGAGAAAATTAACAAAGCTACAAGTTTATTCTTTGAAAAGATTTGATGAAACTGATAAACACTTAGCAAGACTGCCCACAGAAACTAAAAGTGAATACAAAAATTCTCACTGCTGTGGATACACAGTTCAAATGTGTATATATAGATCCATAAATACGTGTTTCACTCTAAAAACTCTACGAAGGAAACCCATTTTTTTTTTTTTTTAATAACTCAGGCACCAATAAATTTTCTGACATTTAGAGATCCTGTTTGTGACCAGGAAAAATAAAGTGGCTACGCTTCATATACCAAACTGAAGATTTTAGGGAACATCCAAAACATTAAAGTTTAACAACAAAAATAAACTGTGCTTCTTCATATGTTATCCTATTGTCCAACAGATGGCAAACTCAGAGGAGGGGCCTTGATAATCTTGCTCATTTGGTATCCACAGTACTGGAACATTATAGACAATGGATGTTTGCAGATTTATACAAACGGGTACAGTTGTCCCTCTGTATCCATGGGTTCTGCATCCACGGATTCAGACAACCACAGATTGAAAATATTTTGGTATGAAATGGCTGCCGAAAGGCAGTTAACTTTTCAAAGCAATCCCTCAGAGGTTAGGAGGGAACATAAAGTGCCATTTACATTGTATTAGGCATTTTAAGTTATCTAGAGATGACAACAACAACAACAGAGATGATTTAAAGTATACAGGAAGATGTTATATGCAAGTTATATGCAAATTATATGCAAACACTATGCCATTTATATAAGGGACTTGAGCATCTGTGGATTTTAGACTGGAGATAGGGGGAGCGGTTCCTGAAGCCAGTCCCCCAGGGTACAGAAGGATGACTGTATATACAAATTTAGATTGCCTTATCTGTTGAATCAATGCTTTTGTTATTGAATTGATGATTTTGCCATAATGCCTACCTTGTTGGATGTCAGAATAGCTGTATCAGCTTTCTTTTGGATTAGTGTTTGTGTCATATTTGTTTGTCCTTTTATTTTGAGAATTCCTCTAACTTTACATTTAAACTGCATTTCTCTTTTCTAAGAAGTGTAGAGTTGGATTTTTTGGTTTGTTTCTGTTTTTAATCTACTAGACAATTTTTATCTTCTAAATTAGTATTTAAACCATTTTCATATAATTTGTTTACTGATATATGTGGTATTGCTAATTAGTGAATAAATCTTTAGAACTTTTTATTTTTAGAGGATACTGGCTTTTCAAGGTATTAACTCATACTTTTAAAAATCTGCTCTTCTCAGTGAAGAGAAGCCCTGCTGAGCCTTGTTCTCCATTATTTGGAAGCAAATATTTAGACTATTAGAAATACAGTGATGGTGCCAGGATGCAACTAGCTGGGAGCACCTGCTGACATAATTTTGCATTTAGCTGAACTTGCTAGAATAGCCTTCCTTTTCTCTGTGGGTTCCTACTCTGGGTTTATACTGTGAAGTTGCTGAATCTTTTAAAGAAACGTAATACGAGCCGTGTCCTGACTTTGATTGGTAGAGGCATATGGTTGTAGTTTTTTGGCAACTCAGTTGAGCCATGTGCATGGAAGTGCCCCTTGGGACCACTAATCTGGGCTGTTGTGCAAGTATTTTAATCAAAGTTTTCCAGAGTAAATAGTTGTCCTACTCATCCTCATAATGATGTCAGTATGGAGCAGACATTACTTTGTTGCTGGGTTTTCTGCTTCCTATAATTCACTTGAGCAGTCTTCATCATAAATCATGAATTTGATCACCTATGTAAATGCCTTTCTCAGAGTTCTGTGCCATTCTCCATGTACTACTCATGTCTTGCTTTTTCCTATTGGATTTGACTGACTGCTGCCCTCAAAAAGTAAACATACTGTGATTTTCCTGTTCAGGTGGGTTGTAGAAAGGGCTGAGAACCATAAATATACATTAAGATTTGAATTAGGTTCCTTCTGAGTTTGACAAAATAGTGTTGTTAAAAGTGTAAGTAGAAACACAAACTGAACCAAACTCACTGCCATTAAGTCCATTCCAACTCACAGTGACCCCCATTGGGTTTCCAAGGCTGTATAAATCTTTACAGAAGCAGACCACCTCATCTTTCTTTTGTGGAGAAGCTGGTAGGCTTGGACCACCAACCTTTTGGTTAGCAGCCAAACGCCTTAACTACTATACCACTAGAGCACACAATCCCCTATTTGTAAATGGGTTGTCAGGAGGGGAGAAATTAAATCCTATGACTATAATAGCATCATGGAAGGGACAGGGATGAGGGTGGGAGCCCTGTTGGGAAACTCTTCCATTCTAGGGTGCACTACTGGAAGAAGGGGAGAGAGGGTAGGAGTGGGGATTTTAGAAGAGGTTACCCAAATGGTAGCCACATGTGCTCGCTCTGGAGACATGTTGGAATGTAGAGAAAAGTGCATTGTATCACTGCCAGCAGTTACCTCGATTCCATCTGGGCTCATTTCCTCTGCCCTTGCACTGTCATGGAAGCGGATCTGCTTTTACCTTGTTTCCTGTATTAGGTGTTTACGTAAGAGTTCTTGGAACAAAGCCCATGGCAGTTATTATATATCCCTGGCAATAAGCTTCAGTGCGAGGCTCAGGATTTCTGTGTTCTGTCTCATGAACCTTCATCGTTCTCTGGAGGTATTTCTCCAACAAAGGATCTTTTATTGTCTTAAGTTTCCTGAAGCTAAAAGTAAAAACTCTATTCTCATGCCTTTTATTTGGTCGGTCCTACCTCCACCAGAAACTGCTCCTTTCCTCACAGAACCATTTTTGTGTCTTGTCTAATCTCAGGATGGGTTGTCTATCTCCACCTCTAAGTCGACCTGCGCTTTTAAGAATTAATGCAGAACTTAAGTCTACACCCCGCGATTGCCTTGTGTTTTTCCTGTGTTTGTGCTGGTGCATTCTCTGCACATCTAGATGATAATTCTCTCAAAGCAGAACAGTTTTGGGTTTTTTCTCTTAACATTAACATTAGTTAGTAATGTGTGTGTTATCAAGAGGCAACTGTTTCAATTCTGTAAAGATTACAGATTGCTGCTCTGCACATAAAGGCGTTGCTTATTTTAAGTTGAGAGTACCAGCTTTCAGTACCCCTCCTAAAGTAACATGGTGTTTTTGCTTTGTTATCAGGGGCCCAAATCCCAGCAAAGTGCTACAGCAGTTGTTAGTGCTTCAACCTGAGCAGCAGTTAAATATATATAAAACCCTGAAGACTCATCTCATCGAGAAAGGAATCCTACAGCCTACCTTGAAGGTATAACTGGATCCAGAGAGGGAAGGACTGTCAATAAGGAATTCTACAGAAAAGCACTGAGAGATGACATTTTATAATCATACAGAGAAATGGTTGTAAATGCAATAGATTGAAGTTTAGCAGACACAAATGTTTCTTCTCTGAAATTACTGTGAATATTTAGCAAACACTTACTTGATCCAAGTTATGACATAAGTAGCAAATTGCTGGCAAAATACCCTGTACGTTTTCTAAGCTGTATTTTCTGGTGTTAACTTCCTTCCCCTTGCTAGATTTCATGATTTAAATGACTTGTATTTTAAAGACTCAAACACTATAAAATTCATAAATGGAGAATGTCATAAGATTGTACCTGGCAGTGTGCCCTTTGCGCAATATTTACTTCTACACTTGGAGCTGCTCTTAATTTTAGCAGAATGTTTTATAGACGGCACAATAGGAAGTTAGCTGTACTTGTTCTTCCTCCACTTTTAATCTGAAGTATTTCCTGAAGGGCTGAATTGCATCAACAAAGAAAAAAAAAAAAAAAGAAAATGCCCTCTTTTCAAAATAGTAATTAGTTTTTTTGGGAAAACTATTCAACTTTTTTGACAGGTTTGAAAGTCGGGGGCGGGGGGAGGGCTAAAATTTCTACCACTATTGGCTTGCTAGAAAGAGGAGGTATCAAGGCTTCTGTTAAAATTACTTGGAAAAAACATAATCTGACAAAAGCTTTCCAAGAGAAATGGGAGAGTTCTGCTATGAAGAATATAATGTATGGATCCTCCTTGCTGATCTCGACAGATGACAGTAGCTCAGGAGGCAGCATGAGACAGTGACATGGGGCAGGGCCCACCTGTCGGTGAAGTCCTCAGCTTTTCCTTGTTTCCTTCTGAACTGGTTTCCACATATTCTGTAGCCACAGGCACCAATCAAGATCATTATGTGGGACAGTGAGTAGGGCATGGTGGCTGAGTAGAGAAGGAGGTGCCAGACGGAGCAAGAGTGGTGCATCCCAGGATGCAGGCACGCAGAGCCCAAGCAAGATCAGAAACCCTGGCGTGTTCTGAAGTTGGTACTAGACTCAATCCCTGACATATCTATGTTTTCTTACCTGCTAACTTTTTGAAAGTAAGTTGGAAAGTGGCCTGGCCCAAATGAAAGAGATTATGTTTTAATGAGGATTTGGAAGGGGCACAGAGAGGAAGTGGGAGTTGGTGCTCTGTGCTCCTGCATCTGGGGTCTTCCCCTGAGAACCCCTTGTCCCTCCCACTGGAGACTCACCTTGGAAAAAGGAGGATGTACCTGGAGACTCAAACTAGAATAGCTGCTTGGTTGCAGCTAATATTTGTCCCATTGCTCTTACCCATCATGTCATGAAAACCAAGGACATCACTGATTATTTTTTCTTTGAAAAAATGGAAATTAAGCTTACGTGATTTCCACCAAGAACAAAAAGCACATGAATGCCAAATCTTCCCCTTGGTGGATGGGACTTTTCAACCAGATGAGATTAAATTTCTTACAAATGAATGTAAATAAGCTACCGTTGCTGTGTGCTCTCTACAACCATTGCTATTATGTTGAACAATTGGCCCTAAACCTTCAAAAACTGTCTATTACTCCTGGCAAGAAATTGATATATTTTAAGAATGTTTTGCTAATGAAAAGAGTAAATATTTTTGTTTACATCATAAATGTCAGTTATTTTATATTTTTGTTCTAACGCTATGCATAAAACAAAGACTTGTATTTTAAAGAGTTTAAAAACAAAAGATTATAGATGAGACTGGGTTCCCTGGATAAAATCTACGATTAGTGGCCCCATCATGTACTACATGGTTACAGTAGATGTAGTTAAATTTAGTACCAGGAGTCTAATTTCTTGGTCTGGCATGCATTCACTTGCTTCATCGCCACTGAATGTGTTCAGTCAGCGTTATTTCACACTATTCCATAAAAATCGAGAATTGGCATTGGAAATGTTATTACAGGAGGGAAAGATCACCTTTAAAACCAGGCCACCTAACAAGTTAATTTTCAACTTCTCTCATTTTTGTTTGCCCCATTAACAGCTCCAAGTGTCGATGATTAAAGAATTCAGGATACCAAAGTTTAAAAAAGAAATTGAAAACTTAGCGGTTTGCACAAGTAACAACTCCATGGAGATACACCATTAACTCTGCATTTTTCTTTAAAGTAATTGGTGAGACTGTCATCTAGAATTATGAGAGCTTTACTGAATTCATGGCATTGTAAAATTAATATTACTATAAACAAAATATGAAGCTGGAAATATTTGGGGTCAAAGTACTAGCTTTCCTCACATATGCTTTTAGAGTCGGGTGTACATTATTCTATATGTAAAGAAGTAAATTCTTAATTTTAACAGAACTTTAAAGATTGACCTTTTTAGTGTACTTTTATAGCATGTATATTACAATAGAATATATTTTAGCAAAAGATTGCCATAAAACCCTGATTTTCAAGATTTTTATATTTGCACTGTGAAGAGGGCTTAACTTCCTTCCAGTGTAGGGTTATGGTGACGATAAATCCAAAGGTAGGAACTTCCTTCATAGTACTGGTGAATTTTTCTAAACTTGCTGTTTTGGGAGGTACTGTAACGGTACTTACTGCCTGACTTTTTAATCTGTGGGATACAAAGGTTTCCTCCATGCTTTTGCCTGTGCTGGTGTATATACATTTAAAGTTTGTTTGCCAATTGCTTCCCCTCCCCACCAGTTATTTTTGTAAGCCCCACTATGCCAATTTTTTCTTTTCACATGTTGCTGTAAAAAACAAAAAAAAAATTAGCATAGTGCAATTTACAAAAACACCTCCTAGGGAATGGAACAGTTGGCAAATAACTCTAGAAGGCAAGTGTTATTTGTATAAAATACGATACTGAGAATAACAAGACACATGTACACACACCCCTTTTGTTAATTTATAGCACTTTGGTTTGAACAAAGACACTATCACCTTGTTCACTAAAAAAAGGAAAAGGTAGAAACAGCATATATGTACCATATTTGGGTGATAGTTTATGATTTGTGTCAATCAGTTCTCTGAATCTGAAGCTGAGACAGGAAAATAAAAAACAAATCATACTTTGACTTTCTTGTGCCATTTTCTCATTGGAGTGGAAACATTCATTCAGCTAGTATGTGAACAATGAAGAAGGGCATACAAGTACTATGCCATGCATTTTCCACCATCAACATGTAGTGACATCTTCAGGACTGCAGATAAATCAGTTCTGGTGATGACTGAACATCTATCTATATTTGTTGAAAGGCAATGTCCACTTGCTTAATAGAGTACTGAACTTCTAAGGACTTGACAGTTTTTAATTAGATTTTATTTGTCTTGATTCTGTGATTAATGTCTGCTCACACAAGAGTTCTGTGCTACAGAGAGGCCAAACAGGGTCCATTGCATTCCTGCCTAGCCCAAAGCCTGCATGCACTCTCTAGGTGCTTAAGTTTCTGAACAAATGAATGAGCTTGGAATCTGAAGGCACAACTGCTTATATCCCATTTGTCTCCCTTGGACAGCCTCTTCTACCTGCCACCAACTCCTAGCCCCAGTTTTCATTATGCATATTAATTCTCTGGTAGCGTAGTGCCTAAGGCACTTGACTGCTAACCAGAAGGCTGGCGGTTCAAACCCACCAGCCACTCCTCGGAAGGAAGGCTGGGCTATCCTACTTCTGTAGTGATACCACCTCAGAAACCCAAGGAGGGGTCGCTATGAGTTGAGGGAGTCGGGGCCGACTCGATGGCACATAACAACAACAACAACAACATCTAATAGAGTTGTTTTAAGATTTAACTAGAAACTCATATGGAAGTGCCTTGATTAGATAGATAGCTCCTGTCAAGTTGACTCCAACTCATGGTGACCTCAAGTACAACAGAACAAAATGTTGCCGAGTCCTGTGTCATCATCATGATCACCGGCATATTTGAGCCAATCTGTCTTACCAAGGTTCTCCCTTGTCCTCTACTTCCCCAAACCGGACATCCTCTGGTAATTGAGCCTTCCTAATAATATATCCAAAGCAAGTGAGTCAGACACTGTTGTGATTCATAAGGTTTTCATTGGATAATTTTCAGAAGCACACCACCAGACCTTTTTATTCCTAGTCTGTCTTAGTGTGGAAGCTCTGCTAAACATGGATCTAGAACCTCCTTTGAGTGAGACATCATTTTAGGATATAAAATAATTAAATATACCCCCCTGATCTTAATAGAATTTCTAGGTTAGCTGGAGAGACATTGTAGAAGGTTCTGTGATTGTGGCCTACACAGGAAAGACCATTGACCTGAGTGGAAGCTGGGAAGGGAGTGAGAAGGAGAATGTCATAGGAAAAGTCCAAGCAAGATCAGAAACCCTGGCATGTTCTGAAGTTGTTACTATACTCAGACCCTGTCATCTGTTTCTTACCTGATACCTTCTTTAAAGTATATGGAAAGTTGTCTGCCCCCAAATAAAGAGACTACTTACATTTCAGTGGGGATTTAGAGGGCAGACAGAAAGGAAGTGAGAGTTGGTGCTGTTCCCTGAGGATAAAAACCAATGGATACATTGCCAGAGAGAATGTAAAATGATGCAACTACCCTGGCAGTACCTCAAAATATTAAATTTAAATGTAGAGTTACTGTGGTAGTTCAGGTTATGTGTCAACCTTTGGGCACTAATTGGTAGAGGAGACCTGCATGAGACAGAGAGTCAGGCTTGCCGGCCCATGGAAGGAGACAGCTGAGTGCCTTTGGGCAGGAAGCTTCTTGGTGGAGTGGGTTGCCTTCAGGCATTTAATTGGCAGAAGTAGAAAGACTAGATAAATGGGAAGCAGAGCTACCTCAGTGTGAGAGGGTAGGACCATGGCCTCTGGGGGTGGAACCACCACAGCCTCCCAGGTTTCAATGAGTCAGATCTTCACTAACTCCATTTTGGAGTTTGGGGCTGCCATACATGAGGGCCAGTGGGATGGGACCATATTCGTTGTCCAAAAGTGAGGGGGCAAGACTGCCATGCCCAATGGGCAAAAGACTGGGGCCTACCAGGCCAAGGGAGTAAGGTTGCCACTGAGATGGAGAGGTGGGCCACTCAATGAAGGAGATCTGTATGGGTGCCAAGGTGACAAGGGGTGGAATGTGGGAATTAAGGTTATGTGTCAACTTGGCTGGTCCTGGTTTTGAGTGGCTGGACAGCTGGATGTAGTTATTTTCCATAATAAGATTTTAATCACCTTCATGGTACAATCTGCTTTGAGCAGCTAAATAGTCGTCTTCAGGGTGTGGCCTTCTGCCAGTATATAAAGAGAAACTTTGAGAAAGGTCTCTGGCATTTTAGCACATTTTGATCCTGCATTTGGCTGAGTCTTGATCTCTAGTTCCTGGACTTGAACCAGTGGCCTGCTGTATTGCCTGCTAATCTTGAGATTATACCATTTTACTTGCTGTTCTTGGGTTCATCAGCCTCAGCCGCCAGCAGCTACATGAGTTTCAAGAAGCCTTCA